GGCCGTTTCATTGTGTGTGACTGCGGACTGTGAACACAACCCCTTTTTCATCCAGAGCTGTATATGATATATGTTAAATCATTGTAATGATATATGTTAAATCATTGTAATGTTCTGAAGAAACGGCCGTTTCATTGTGTGTGACTGCGGACTGTGAACACAACCCCTTTTTCATCCAGAGGAGTATATCCAAAATTAAAATCCCCCTACTTCACAATCTTTTATCGAGTTGTACATGATATTTTGAATGATCGTAATGTTTTGAGGAAACGACTTCATTATTGTACTCTGCAAGGTGCAAGGTCCACGGCGTCTGTGTACTTAAAAAGTGTGGCATGCGTATATAGTATATAGTATATAGTATATACTATATACTATATACCCTTTTGCTTTTCAGCACACCTACACCGTACATTATGCCTGTTCTCTTGATGATGCTCCATTTGTATGCATTTAGTACTGCACGAGGGGAGGGAGAGGAAGATGGGGGATAAAAAGGGAGGAGAGTAGAGGGGGGAAGTAATAGAACAGGAGAAAGACAAATCGGATAGGGTCCTCAATACTCACGAGCCGAGCAGACTGCTAAAGAATTGCACAAGAGGCCAGTCAGTATTTGGGTCTCAGACAAAAATGAGTTGAGGAGCAGGCGTTACCTATCATAAGTGGCCATCCCTGCAGACCGGACAGGACCAGTTCAGGTGTGGACTGTGGAATGACGGCATCCAATTCTCGCAGTTGCAATTGCTGCAGCAAATGGCGTATAGCGTAGACAGCTGTCACATGCAACCTAACTCCCACATGCTAGGGAACAGTCTTACCATGAGATATCGAAAAAGAGAAAAGAGATTATGATATTTTATAAGTTTGGTGAAACGGCCATTTCATTGCTGTATTTCGAATGGCGCTAGGCCTGCCACGTGTAGTCACGTCTGTGTACTTGAGAGTGAAAGATGCACACACGATACTGCGCACTCATTTGCCTTTTCAGCACAGATGCACCTTTTTGTTTTGTCTGTTCTCTTGCTTATGGTCATTTGTTTGCCTTAAGCAATTCTGTGTGGGGAACAGGAGAGAGGGGAGGATAAGAGAGGAGAGACATGGGATGAAAAGGAGAGGAGAGGGGGGGAGAGATGGGGTGACAGAAAGGAGAAGAGAAGGGGGGGGCGAGAGGAATGCAAGGAACAGACTCTGAGGTCAACCCAGCACAAAACAAGTCTTAGGGTCATAGCTTTCGGCAAAGGAAAAGTTTTACTGTCAAAGGTCGGTCCTACGGGCTCTGCTAGAGAGGCTCAAGAACTTTCTTAGGTCGGTAGGGCCTGGGCTCAAGGGCCAAACGAGGTGCCCAGGGCCGTCGCAAATCAAAATAGGCCTTAGGGAAGTCCTCAGTCAGGCCCCAGCCTGGAGCAGCAGGCAGGCCTTGGGTCAAGAGTCAAAACGAGGTACCCTGTCCTCACATATGCTTGTCCTGCTTTAAGACTTCTGCAGCTCGGAAAATTTGAGTTCCCATTGATTGATTCCTCACACAGTGGTGGTTTAACCCCCCCCCCCCCTCCCCCAAACCCCCAAATAAAAAAAAGGGGTAAGTACGTTTTTCAGTCACAACCGAGTTTCCAAAAGGCAAAAGAAACAATAAATGGTGATTCAAACATGGTGCAACTTCAAAAAGGCGATTCAAACATGGCGCGACTTCTCAACCAGGTAGGTCAGGCTCTTTTACAGGGGGGGGGACCGTGGTGTGCAAAACTGCCGTTCTATGTTTGTTTTGCACATTTCAAACTCGTGCCGTGTTTGAGTCGCCATTTATTGTTTTTTTTTTTTTGCCTTTCGGAACTGAAAACCTGACCCGGCTGCCGTTGTCTCAACAAAAACAAACCCAGCACTTGGCAGAGTGCCTTGGCAGTGCCACAAAGAAAGAAAAAAGTCGTCCGTGCAAATGAAATGATACCGCGGGATACAAAAACGAGACAACGTAGAAGTCTGAAATACTCATCGGACAAGAACATTGACGCGCAAAATGGTGATGATATCTGGTCGACAGACTCGACAAATCGACTTGGAAAAAGAATGCGGGAGGGAGAACTCACCTGCGAGGGCATTGATGACCACAAGGTAGTCGGAAGCCGCAGGTCAGCGAGCAACCGCCATCACCGACGCGGAGCTCAAAATCATCAGGACTTTCAATGTTCGAGATCCGTTCAGGGTGCTGCTCGCATTTGACTGGTATCGCGTTGCCCACTCTATCCTCCTGTTTCAGAATGCCAAGAACCTCGCGCCACATCGTGGAATCATGCCGCAAAGTCAATGTCGCCGAGTTTCCAACGAGATAGAGACCATGCTTCGCTCTGGACAGCATTACGTTAATCCGGTTTGGCGAACTGATGAACCCAAGCTTTCCATTCCGGTTGTTCCGCACGAGCGAGAGGATGACAATGGTGCTTTCTTCACCTTGAAAACTACAAAAAATTCAAGAGGCAACAACCGACGGGCCTAGCTCAGTTGGTACACCCAATGAACTGTTGAAATACCGACCCAAGTTCGAATGCAGATGCAATCAGATGAGCAGAATAAAATAATTACGAAGTTAATATGAACTACCTGGTGACCTCAACCTTCCGCAGTTTGAGTGACGTCCGGCTTGGTCGGAAGTATTTGGAATTTTGGAGCTGTGTTGTTCGACGCTGCATGGATTCATGTGAATAGTTTGTCAACTTTGCATTTCATAATTTTTATTTTTTATTGTTTCATAGTTCTCTCCTCAGACAGGGTAGCATGAAGCACCATACTAGGTTATTGCTGGAGGTGCCTTGTTCGTTACCAGGATTGGTTTAGTTATCAGTGCTTGTCTCGTTATTGCCACTTATTGGTATTTCTCTGGAGTATGACTTTTGTTATTTGGGCTGATACTAGCCTGATAGTTTATAAATGCAATGATCCGACTCAATTGGACTCCGAAGTCGCAATAATGCAAGTCCCCAGAGCTCACACCACACTCACATAGCAAAGCAACGAGACAGAAATAAGCAGAAACTCGCAGATATTATTCCAATTTACAAATTCGTTGCAAGGTTCCAAACACAAGTTCCAGCGGCTATGGCCGGCAAATTCTCACACTCAGCCTGACTCAGGTATGTACTTTCTATTCCAATCTCAGTCAGACTCAATGTGAATCGTAGTCCAGATTCTTGTTGGTTTAGTGAGGGCGACCGTGCAAGTCACCGAATGAATTGCCCAGTTTGGCGTAGTCAAGTGGGACGTTGCAGATGTCTGCAACGAGATGGACACGACTTATTTCATGCGTGGAGCATGCATGCAAGACACTTGGAATGACGAACTCATTTGCATCCATCTGTCTGTCTGTCTGTCTGTCTAACTTTGTCTCCATCTCTGTCACTGTCTCTGTCTCTCTCTGTCTCTGTCACTGTCACTGTCTCTCTCTGTCTCTGTCACTGTCTCTGTCTCTGTTTCTGTCTCTCTCTTTCTGTCTCCATCTCTGTCTCTCTGTCTCTGTCTCTCTCTCTCTCTCTCTCTCTCTCTCTCTCTCTCTCTCTCTCTCTCTCTCTCTCTCTCTCTCTCTCTCTCTCTCTCTCTNTCTCTCTCTCTCTCTCTCTCTCTCTCTCTCTCTCTCTCTCTCTCTCTCTCTCTCTCTCTCTCTCTCTCTCTCTCTCTCTCTCTCTGTGTGTGAATACACTCGGCGCTCATGACCTATCGGCTACTTCGTCTCTCCTCCCTCGCCAGTCCTAGCTATGGCGCCTCATGCCAGTTCGCCCAACCAATCACATCAAACCGTCGCATCAGTGTTTTTCAACAGTGCTTCTAACATGCCAAATGAACCCGTGAGTCACCCAGGTATCGGAGCCGCTTAAATAGCATCTGCAACTGACATCTTTGTTGGCTCCAGACTGCTAATGGTCGCCTAGGGCCTGTCGGCCGCAATTGTGCTGGTTCTGGCAGTAACCGGACCTTCCTTGGATGCTGCTGCTAAAATTACATTGGGATTTGGACTTTTCCTATCGGGTACTGGACCTACTGGGCTCCAAACTATTTCGGGCATCTAGACCTGCGGGCCTGAATCGGCGTTTCGGCTGCTGGGCCCGCCAGCTTAGCTATAGTACTTGGGACTGGGACCATCGAGACAGTGGGACCGGGACATGGGACTTGTCTGACATGTGAAATCCTTCCATTAATAACTCAGGCTGGATTGATAGCTGAATGTACGGTTGCTGGATTGAATGTTTGACAGGCCATCATTTCTGGAGCCTGGGCCTTGCTGACTGACGTCTAGGAGGCAGTCACAAAATGATGAGATCTCCTTCTCATTTATGGTCCAGATCATCAAGCAAGCACAGAGGAGAAAATGTAAACATAGCTCCTCTATGACTGTCCTCGTCACTAGAGCCAAGCCCACAACAAGACTAAGACGACATGATAGGTCCCATACCAAGACACCTCCCAGCACATGACCTTCCCCTAACAAATCCATCACCCCCTCCTTCTCGGGAACATCCAGACATCAGCGGCCCCATTATGTCCTGACTCCTGAATAACCACTAAAAACCTGGACCCCTATTAAAATGCAACCTCCCACCTTAATACCACATTTTGACCCACACCAGGTCTTCCCCAAACACAGATATACCCACATCAGACGCCCTCCAATCCCCCTGAAAAGTCTCCCCACCCCCAGTCCCGAATCTGCATGGAGAGTCCGCTAAAACCCTTAACCCTAATAGAAACATTCCCTCCCACTCTGATCCAATACCATAAATCCCATCAAAATACCTTCTCTCCCACCCCTTTACATCCACATACACCCTCTATTCCCAACTAACAGGATAGACAGCCTCCTTGACAGTCTTGAACAGGGCTAGTTTCACTCCACAACCACCCAAGGATCTAGAATAACAAGATTTCTTACCAAGTTACACAGGCAAGGCAACAAGGGTACATCAAGGCCTAAGATAATAGGGCTAAAAGTCTAGTATAGGACACAGAGGGATACCAAGCTAGTGACTCCAGCATTTCAGGTCATACAGATAGCCAACTAGCTGAGAAGAATCCTAGAGAGAAGGTTTCTATCAGTAAACAGCTGAGAAGTAGGACGGAGCAAAACCATTCACGATAAAAATAAGCAATAGTCTAGAAGAGGCAGACGTAGGCAGGGGTGAAGATCGGTACATCCTTCTTCATGGAAGTAATCAATGCCGTCTTCAGGGCCTCCACGCCGTAAGGAGGAGGAGCGTGAGTGGGTAAATTTGTGTACTATTTTGACTTGCCGGGGGAATAGGAACCGGACTGTTGCTGGACGCGGGACTGACGCGGAAACGCGCGAGCGCCGTTCGGGTAGCGCTTCACCGCACCCACGTCTCGTTGCCGCTCGACCCCGCGCGGGTGTCGTCGGGAACCATCGCTAGAGTTAGCACTCTCGCCATCGCCCGTACCACGCCGAGCACCACGCGCGCGCGCCCTGTGCGCGCGCGCATCCCCCAAGTCCATGGTGCAAGACGATTGGTGAAGGAACCGGAGTCGAATAGAGGTGGCGCGCTTACATCCGAGCCACCGTGACGAAGGACTGGGAAAGCGATGATTTGAACCGCCATGGGAGCTCGCCCTTTCGCCAAACCCACGGGCGCGCGCCCTGTACGCGCGCACTTCTTCATGATCACCGATTAAGGAAAACTTTCGAGGGATTCTGTGACGTCTTGCGGAAGCGAGCACGCGGCCTAGCCTCCGAGAAGGACGCTTGGTACATCCTTGCACATTGGAAGAAAAGACTACGATCTACTGCCGCTTATTCTGGAGCTCCACAAAGATGAAGACCAGCCAGTCCGAGTGAGAGCATTTCATCAACCCCCGCATTCCTACTCCCTTCCTCCACCTTCATCTCTTCTCAGTCCCACCTCTATCCCGCTTCCGACCCAACCCCCACGAATCGCGACCCCACACCAAAGATTCTCTCTTAATCCGACCCCACCTCCACCTCCCTCTGACTGACTCCTATTCACCTACTCCCCGATCGCTCCTCTATCCCAACCTCTCTTTCCCAACCTCCTTCCTATTACTCTTTGATAGACTCAACCATACCTATCGAGTCTCTCCCCAACATCTTCCTAACTAATCTCTCACCTGATCCCAACCTCACCCCGACCTCCCCCAGTCCGCCACCTGTCCCGTCTCAGCTCGAATTGTACCCATCTCTTGCTCGCCCCTCATCCCCAGTCCCAGGACCGCCCTCGCACATTCCAGAATCGTTACCTTGCCACGACGCGCACTCTCAATTCGGACTACCTACATACTATCATCCTTCGTGTTCGTTCGTGAGCGTGAATCCGACTCCTTACGATCCCTCCCTCGTTCTCCATACCGACCTCACTCTTGCTCCCAACCTCGTCTCCGCTCCGATTCTACCCATCGCCCCACCTCGACTCCAACCAATCGTGACCTGTGTTACATCTTCGACTCACACGGGTCCTACCGGACCCGACTTAGGGCCGGAGGGACACACCAGGGCCTAAAGGCCCGACCTGTCTCTTATACACATCTAGATGTGTATAAGAGACAGGGAGTATATCCAAAATTAAAATCCCCCTACTTCA